ATTTTGACCAAGATCAAGCAAAAAAATAGAAAATCCAAACACGCCTCCAGTTCAGGTGTTTCATCACCATGTTTGTTATCCATGGCTAATCATAGTCTTCGTCATCCTCCACCAGTCGGTTCACCAGGCGTACCCAGTGGGATGGATGGCTGGATGCATGGATGGATGGAACATAGATAGATACACCTATAAATGTACAGATCACATGTCTATACATAACTGATACATATAATATATGTGTATATATAGGATATGTGGTTAGTGGTTGCGGCACCTACTCTTCACCCAACCTTCACTCCACAACCGGACTCCCGGGCAGCTCAGGAAGAGGTATCCGATACGCCATGAGAAGTTGCTGCAGGCAGTTCATCACCTCAGAAGGGTTTTCATGACTTGATTTGGGGATATCATAAGGGGCTTAACCCATCAAAAAGGAGGTCTTGGTCAAATCATATGGGATGTTGTTAAATCTCTACTATGAGTTGCAAACCACAATGGCTCGGACCCAAAACAACTATAAGAATTTCCCTCGAATTTGAAAAATAGAATGGGATACCATTTCTTTTAATTTCATGTTCTTAGATGTTCTTAGTATTTTTGCATAGTTTTGCGGCCGAGCCAATACGAATTGCGAAATCCTCCTTAGTAGCTGTTGAGCTCATTCTTTCTGGCTTTGCGGCCAAGCGAATTGCGAATTTAACGCTGCTTCCGCGTGATGTATGTGGATATGCGCACGCGAACCTGGCCCCGCTCCCCAGGAATCAGCGTTGCCACTCACAAAGGCGGAAGTAAGTCAACTTTGATGTCGGGCGGTGCCGGGGGGTTGCGCTCAGGGTCCTGTGCATTGCCGCCGGCTGTACAAATGTCTTTGCATTGCTTGTGGCTGTCAAGACAGCACGGGGCATGCATGGACCTAGTGAAACGTTCCTTTGGTTTTGCGAAGCGTTCTTGGGCCCATTTTGGGGCTGTGGGCCTGCTTTTTGCCCTCCCTGACTGATCCAACAGCCCACCATCTCAGGTGATCTCCAAATAAATGGCTCCCAGAACGGTTGGAGCCGAAATCCCGGGGTATCCATCATTCTCTCATGTTAAATCCGCATCTTTTGGTTCACCAAAGCACCTTCACCTTAAAAAAAAAAACGGTAGAGAAACGCACCTCTCCATCTTTCCACGAGAGGGTGCCGCATCCTGCACGAAAATAAACCCCGAATCTCGTGGGTAGTTTTGGGATATGTGGGATATATATATATATTCTCCATTGCATGGGATATGTTTCCCCCATAACTTGCTGCATATCACTATGCATATCATGATCATATTCTATGGGATATAAGTTGTAGGAGCGTTTCAATATTTATATGTGCATCCCAGACATTGTAAGTAGTTAAGCTATGTCAACAAGCCGACGACTAACCCATTCCTGTCCCCAAGCAGTGCAGCTCATCTTTCTCCATCTGATGAAAAAGGAGGATCCAATAACCTTAATCCATAATTACAGTTTGGATCTATATTGTATCTTGAAAAGCAAAGAAAATCACACTACCGGAAACCAAAAAAGCTCATGTTCATCATTTTTGGTTGAACAGCCAATAGCAATAGCCATCAATAACCATCAATAGTCATCAAGTTCATCATCAATAACCACATGAATTCCAATGAGACTTTCACCCAGATACATTTAATACCTGGCTTTAAAAGTGCCATCCCCGTCCTCTGGCGTCACATCGCTGAAACAGAATCTGGGCCACTGCCTGCGGGAATAGCTGGGAATAGCTGGATGTTTAATCATCTGTATCATTCATCCCTCCCAAAAATCAATGGCCATTTCAGGAACCTAAATTGGAGGTACCTACCATATATATAAGGCCTATTTTTTAGGCCTATGTAAGGGAATATCCCAGCAAAATATGGCCAAAAATATGGTACAGTACCTCCATTTTAGGATCCTGAAATTCCCATTGAAAAAATGTTGCACTTGATCTTTCGATCCAACCCCAAATCACCATGTTTGCTGCTTAAATATACTCCCAAAATATGGTCGAAGATGCTTTGATCCGTACCCATATTCCTCTTTCAACCAGTTGGCAATTGGCAAGTCTCCAGAACCAGGACGCGGCCCGTTGATGGGACATGGCTACAGAAAACGTACCGGGCTGCTCCCAACAGCCCAGTGAGGAAACTGGGTAAAAAATGTAAAAAGGGGATGTAAAACACCCCAATTTCCCATCAATTTCCCCCATCTCGTGGCTATGCGGCTATGATTCCCCCAGAGCAAGGTGATCCACAGCTGTGGTCTTTCTGTCGCTAGGACTAGGATGGCCACCTGTCCTTGGCAAGGCTTGGCCCATCCTCGTATCGTTTCGATTTTGGACTTCCGGTCACAAAAAAAAGCCCTTCCAGAAAACCATGGTTGTCTAGTGTATGTTTTAGTAGTAGTTTGGGATTTACACATATTGTCATGAACATCCATGAACCATGGGGGTGTTTAACATGGGGATTCGTCCTCCAAAATGGAGGCCATGACCAGCTCCAGCGCCTCTTGGAACTCCAAGGTTTGTGTCGGAGCTGCCTCTGTCACCAAACGTGGCTGGGAAATTCCCAAACTAAACGGAGGTCTATAGCTGGGAAAGTCATTCTATGATGGATCCTCTATTAATCAACCAACCAATGGGAAAAGGGCATCTATGTTTCTCATTCTCTTGGTATTGCAAACTCTTTGGGATATTCTCCTAATCTTGACATGTTGGTGATGTGTTTTTTTACTGTACATTTTGGATCCACGCCACAGGATCACCAGCAGATCTTGCACGGTCAGAATAGAGGTCATTCAAGTTTCAAGTCTACGGGGTCTTGGTTAAGAGAACTCTGTTCCCCTCCCCAAAAAAGAGAGTGGATCATCATCCTGCGATCACCTACCGGAGGCGCTGCCATAGACTGACATCGTTTGATGCTTTCAAGAAACTCCAATTCCCAGAACTTTTTGGAATATTGACGAACTCTGTGCCGGCACCGGCAAAAAACAATATCCTCATTTTCCACAGCAACCCTGCGGTAATCGGTTTGTTTACCCCTTTAACAACAGGTAAATGATGATAGATGGTATACCAAACCGGCCCCTCTATTTTCACCAAAAGAACATTATATATTGATGAGACTTAGTTTTTGACCCTTACATTCGTCTGTTTTACGAATTGGTAGGGCGCACAGGCTGGACGTTCCGACGTGCACGAAGACAAAGCAATAGCAGACCAAACAGACGACAGTGTAAAGCAGGATTCCCTAAATCTGGAACATGCAGCGGATTTTATTTAAGATGCAGAAGTGTGTGTGGGTTTCCTTTTCACATCGAAGGCATGGATTTTGGTCACTGCTTGGTCTTCAAACCATATCGTTTTAGGCTGAATATGTCATATAATCCTCAAAAAAATTGAAATAGAAAAGTGATCCCCTGCTATTTTCATGATTATTTAATTATGTACCATCTGGTTATTTAACATAGCTATGGAAAATCCATTATAAATGGAGGTGTTTAATGGGAAAATCATCTGTAAATGGGCCATTTCCATAGCTAGGTTAAATAACCAGAGGGTATAGGTATTCTATCTTTTTGGAGATGGCTATACTTTCGAGCATAGCCAAGCAGAAACCAAAAACGGCATCGCGACTCGTCGCCTCCTGAGTTCCCACTTCCGCAGCACGCCACCTGCGGCAGTCCATCATAGATTTCAGTGATTTCAGGTATCGGGAAACCGTTGTCGTTCATTGTTACCATCCAATCATTGGGGATCATTATCCCAGATCTATAGCTGAAAAATGCTGAAAATATTGCTAAAAACCACCAACCAAAAAGACGGGTTCCCTGTGAAAATTCCCCACTAAACATCGACGCGGTTCAGGAGCCAATTGAATCCAATGGCAGTCCGGGAGATCGACTGGGACACCTGATATATACATCATGTTATAGTAATCACCACAAAAAAAAAAAAACATGTTATAGGTAACTAGTAACCCCCCATCATGATCCATCATTTATATATATTTATATAACATCATGTTATAGTGAAAAGTAAACCCCACTCAAGTTTGGTGATAAATCATGATAAATCACGTGTCGATCTTTTTGGGGGGTGCTATATATCATATTGGAATGCATGAATGGCCTCCATTTCTCCCATATCTTTGTTGGTTTGCCGAAAGACTTGCCAGCTTCTGGCTTCAGCACCAGTGAGATCTGGCCGGAATTCAAAGCTGTTAGCAAAGCCATCAAATATCATCAAATGGAATTCCGCCCATGAGCTTTCGTTGAAAGCTTGACAAACCAGCGCTTGGAGGATCCTCCATTTCACTCTGGCAATCAAACATGCTTTGCTGGAAAATCTCCGATTTAGTTCGATGATTTTCCGACAAAACCCACCATTTGGTTCGGGGACTTCAATGTAATATCCCCATGAAAAAAGAACCATCATATGCCCGTTCTGGTCGATGTTAATGTTAGATCCCAACATATCTCAGCTTGTTCCTCTCCTATTCCTGGTGATTATCACTATATATCACTAGACTATATATATATATCACCAACATCACCAGGTGATCTAATATATCACTATATCACTAATATCACTATATATATATCACAAACATATAATCCCATAGAAATCACCAGTTATAACCATCATTAATCACTGTTTTAGCCACTATTTCATTACACCATTAGATTAACCATTATCACAAACATATCACTATAATGGTTTAATTATAACCATTATTAACCATTATTAACCATTATTACACCATTATTAACCATTATTACACCATTATTACACCACTATTACACCATTATTACACCATTATTACACCATTATTACACCATTATTACACCATTATTACACCATTATTAACCATTATTACACCATTATTACACCACTATTACACCATTATTACACCATTATTACACCATTATTACACCATCATTAACCATCATTATCCACTATATCTATCCACTGATCCTCCACTGATCTGCTGCCGCGCGATGTGTTTTTTTTCTACGGAGACACCGTGGCCGCTATCCTCGGTGACTCAAGTCGTTGGGGATCATCCCATTTCTGGCGAAAAGTCTGGCGGAAAAACACAGTTGAAACCACCAAACAAAGAGTTTATATATAATAATAATGATAACAATAATGATAACAATAATGTTTATTAATACTAATAACAATAATGTTTAAAAATAATGATAACAATAATGTTTATTAATACTAATAACAATAATGTTTAAAAATAATGATAACAATAATGTTTAAAAATAATGATAACAATAATGTTTAAAAATAATGATAACAATAATGTTTAAAAATAATGATAACAATAATGTTTAAAAATAATGATAACAATAATGTTTATTAATAATGATAACAATAATGTTTATTAATACTAATAACAATAATGTTTAAAAATAATGATAACAATAATGTTTATTAATACTAATAACAATAATGTTTAAACATAATGATAACAATAATGTTTAAAAATAATGATAACAATAATGTTTAAAAATAATGATAACAATAATGTTTAAAAATAATGATAACAATAATGTTTATAAAATAATGATAACAATAATGTTTAAAAATAATGATAACAATAATGTTTATTAATACTAATAACAATAATGTTTAAAAATAATGATAACAATAATGTTTAAAAATAATGATAACAATAATGTTTAAAAATAATGATAACAATAATGTTTAAAAATAATGATAACAATAATGTTTAAAAATAATGATAACAATAATGTTTATTAATACTAATAACAATAATGTTTAAAAATAATGATAACAATAATGTTTAAAAAGAAGGATAACAATAATGTTTATTAATACTAAAACAATAATGTTTATAATACTAATAACAACAAAAAAAATGATTTAAAATAATGATACAATAATGTTAAAAATAATGAATGAACAATAATGTTTAAAATAATGATAACAATAATGTTTAAAAATAATGATAACAATAATGTTTACAATAATGATAACAATAATGTTTATTAATACTAATAACAATAATGTTTAAAAATAATGATAACAATAATGTTTAAAACATAATGATAACAATAATGTTAATAACAATAATGATAACAATAATGTTTAAACATAATGATAACAATAATGTTTAAAAATAATGATAACAATAATGTTTAAAAATAATGATAACAATAATGTTTAAAAATAATGATAACAATAATGTTTAAACATAATGATAAATAAAAAATGATAAATGTTAAAAATAAAATAATGTAAAATAATGTAACAATAATGTTTAAAATAATGATAACAATCATGTTTAAAAATAATGATCACAATAATGTAACAATATTAATACTAATAACAATAATGTTTAAAAGAAATGATAACAATAATGTTATAACAATAATGTTTAATGATAACAATAATGTTTATTAATACTAATAACTATGATAACAATAATGTTTAAAAATAATGATAACAATAATGTTTAAAAATAATGATAACAATAATGTTTATTAATACTAATAACAATAATGTTTAAAAATAATGATAACAATACTGTTTACTAATAATGATAACAATAATGTTTAAAAAATAAGTTATAACAATAATGTTTATTAATAATAATAACAATAATGTTTATTAATAATAACAATAATGTTTAAAAAATAATAACAATAATGTTTATTAATGATAACAATAATGTTTAAAAAATAATAACAATAATGTTTATTAATAATAATAACAATAATGTTAAAAAATAATAATGATAACAATGTTTATTAATAATAACAATAATGTTTAAAAAATAATAACAATAATGTTAAAAAAATAATGATAACAATAATGTTTATTAATAATAACAATAATGTTTATTAATAATAACAATAATGTTTATTAATAATAATAACAATAATGTTAAAAAAAAAAATAATAACAATAATGTTTTTTAATAATAACAATAATGTTTAAAAACTAATGATAACAATAATTTTTATTAATAATAATAACAAAAATGTTTAAAAAAAATAATAATAACAATAATGTTTATTAATAATAACAATAATGTTTATTAATAATAACAATAATGTTTAAAAAATAATGATAACAATAATGTTTATTAATAATAACAATAATGTTTAAAAAAAATAATGATAACAATAATGTTTATTAATAATAATAACAATAATGTTTAAAAAATAATGATAACAATACTGTTTATTAATAATAACAATAATGTTTATTAATAATAACAATAATGTTTATTAATAATAATAACAATAATGTTTAAAAAATAATGATAACAATACTGTTTATTAATAATAACAATAATGTTTATTAATAATAACAATAATGTTTATTAATAATAATAACAATGATGTTTAAAAAATAATAATAATAATATATACTCATATATACTCTGTTCAACATTATTCAACATTATTCAACATTATTCAACATTATTCAATATCATTCAACCAGAAAATTCGAAACACTGCGTGTGGAAGCACCAGATCTTCTGCGTCGCCCACCGAAACGCGTCGTCCGAGTTGCCATGGATGCTGGTCCAAGGCACAAATTCTTGTGCCACACCAACCTTGGACATGGCATCGGCGAAAACATGGTTTATTGTCGTGGCAATATTGGCAATGGGCCATCTTCCAAATACAGAATAAAATCTTGTGAAATAGAAAAACCATAGGACTCATAGGACTCATAGGACAAGAGCTGAAACTGCCAGACATTCAATCCGATCACCAAAGACATCCAAAGCCCGGCAGTTTCAACGAGGATTTTTCCCCACGTGGTTGATCGAGCTGCTGCATAGCTCTCCAGGATCGTCGCATGGCCCCAGCCCTCCGGGACGAAGAGCAAGTCGCCAGGTTCCTGCACGTTGATGGAAGATTCATGGGAAATCTTGGGGACCAATAGATACCAATAGATATATGGCAGTGTGTCAAGACCTTGTACCCCTGGTGAACATCAAAATAGCTGGTAAATGGATGTTCATCCCACTAAAAATGGTATTAATAGGTATTGATCCATACCCATATATCAACAGATAATTAATAGATATCATTAACAGCTATAATCAATAGAAACCATAAGATAATAGATACCAATAGATCATTCATAGATATTGCAATAGATATAGCAATAGTTTGGAGGACCAATAGGGACTCATGTTCAATGTGACGATTCCACCATGAAATTCATGGGGTGCCGGGATGAATGGGGCCCCTGGTCATCCCACAGTCATGAATGGGATTCCACAGTAATGGGTATAGCAAAACCCCTATGAATTTGGGAAAATTGATGGAAAATTCATGAATTTGGGATGGAAAAGGATAGCAAATTGAATGCAAAGTGCCGGAATGGGATGGAAACTGATGCTGGATGCCGGGTGCACCTCACGTGGTTAGCAATTGGCGCCCCGGAGCACATGGTTCCCTAGGGGTTTTTTCTTGAATGTCTATGGCCCCCAGGAAAATGGATTTTTGCACAATCTAATTAGTGACATCAAAATAAAATAGTGGTAAGTTTTGGGAAGCTAATTACTTTTTTAATGTAAAAAGTAATGTATATATATATTTTATATATATATACTATCTGTTGATTCTGTTTGGGGACTACTTTATTTGGCAAAACCAAACTTCAGCTCGTCGATCTTTCTGACCGTCCTGCTCCAATTCCAGAAGAAGCCCCGCGTCGCGCTGACCTAAATGTTCCCGATGGAGTCCACATCAAGTGACCCCAAAAAAAATGTCTGGAATGTCTCTGAAATGTGGAAAGGGCCATGGATGGCCATGGGCCGAAAGTGCCCTTTCTTTGGGTCAAAATTTCCACGAAATATTCATGGTTTATGATGTTTATGATGGTTTCTACTTTCTTGATCCCTGCCAAATTTGTTCATTTTTTGCCACAGCTTGACCCGGCCGCTCCAGCCTCGTTTCCGCCAGGTGACTCTTGAAGCGATCCGTTTCCCTCCAACCAGACACTGGGTCCAGGCTCCAAGAGGCCACTTCGGGTGGACAGAGGAACCAGCGCTTCTTTCCTGAGACCATATTTTCCGGTTGAACATGAGAGATCTTCCATGGTTCAGCATTTTGTTGACCTTCCCCAATGCTTCCCCAAATGGTACAAGATCATTCCGTGTCTATTTGGCTCAAATATATCCTGGTTGGTGGTTTCAACCCCTCTGAAAAATATTCGTCAGTTGTTCACGTTATTCCCAATAATTATATAGGAAAGATTTAAAAAAATGTGCCAAAATGTGCCAAACCACCAACCAGTATCATCTGTCACTGTCAGCATATGTCACCAACCTGAAAAAAGGTCGTGTTGGGGTGATGAATTCTTGATGGTCTTCCTGTCACCAGAGAGATTCCATTGCCGTATTAGATTCCCTTAGCTGCCAGCTTCCCCAAATGCTCCAATGGCATCCAGCAGACAAATATATAAAAATGTATTATCATCCGCCCATCCACTACTGAACTCACACTGAACTTCCATATCTTCCATCAACACCCCGGTCCTGCAAAGGACGCGTTGAGCGCCGCGTGGTGCGTGTGCATCGGCGCCCCGGCACCCCGGAAGCCCACGCCGAACTGCGGCACCCGGACGTGGGACATGTGCCGCTCCATGTAGGCCGTACCCAGCACCGTGGCACGTTTCACCACGTCCCGGCGATGGCGCAGGACGCTGGCATCGAAGATGTATGAGGGGGCTGAAGCCGAAGGCTCTAGGACCTGGGGTTGGGAGATTTTGGGGGGTCCCATCGGTCCCATGAGCGATTATGAAGTTGACATGTGGTTCTGAAGTGCTGATGTTGATGTTGAGATTGGAGTTGTCATGATGGGTTGCATTGCAGTCACGACATGATCTGCAATTTCTGTTGAATAACTCTGGTAGTTCAGCCAAATATACCATCTGATTATTTAACATAGCCATGGAAAATCACCATTTATAATAGGTAAACCATCTATTTCTATGGGCCATCTGTACCATGGCTATGTTAAATAACCAGAGGGTATATCCAAATAAGATGGTTCCTACTCACAATTGACTTGATGAACTCATTGGAACGAGAGACCCCTGCAGGCGGCTCTTCACTTCGCCACACCTTTGGAGACGAAAGTAATTGGGCCAGGGGCGCTTCAGTACCTGACAAGGACTTCTCTGGCGCGATCCCGTGCAAACGATTGGATTTCTCCAATGGAAGAGGAATAGGAACAGTTGGCTTATCTTATTGATTCTATTAAAGTATCAATCAGTTCCAATATTTCTGGCTGTTGAGATTGAATAATTGGTCGGTTTGCCCCCCCCATTTCCGCCTCCAGACAGACCCATGTTCTTCGAGTATGGCACTGGAGCAGCTTGGACCACCTCGTTGCCCAGATCTGCCAAAAGGTGTCGATAATCTGACCAGCTCATGGCTTCCAGATGCATGGCACCACCTGCCAGGAACTCGGGAACTGAACCTCGACTTTTCTGCCGGACACCCACATTCGACATGTAGCTTTGACCTATCACTCCCTCCCGGCCCAAGGCGCAAGATATCGCAAGATGGCGGCCCCAGGGGGTTTTGACTTTTGTGGTGCGTGGACCTCACCTTTAATTAGCAAAGGTCGATTCACCGCCACATAGGAGGGGATGAAGTCTGAGTCGAAGGAAAAGTTCTCGGCCTAGTGAGGGACCGGTGCTGATGGTCCCTGGGAGTCAATTGAAGCTACGTTGGGCGTTTTTTACTCCCCATTGATGGCCATGTTTGGTGAAAAAATCATGGTCAATCATCAAATGTTGTACACAGCGACCGATCCGTTGGACGTTGCCCCACTTTGATACGTCATAGGTGAGACATGGTGGAACTTTGTGACTACCCTCTGGTAAACTAACATAGCAATGGAAAATCACCATTTTTTATGGGAAAATCCACTATAAATGGCCATTTTCAATAGCTATGTTAAATTACCAGAGGGTAGACTCTCAGTTCTCACCTCAAACCTCGCCCTCCACAAGCCACGCAAACCAACACACCGAAATCCAAATCAAAATGCTTGGCCCCCAGCCCGACCTGGCCGCACCCGGCCCCACCCAGCCCCCCGGCCCGACCCGGCCCGCCCATCAGCATCATCAGCATCATCACCATCACCACCACTCACCAGCTTTGTGATGGGCCCCATTAAAAGGAAAAGAACTGAGCAACCACTGGCAAATTGTTCCATGGCGAATCATCTAATCCCAAAGAGCCTCCACCGTGGCCACTTCCGTCTCCGCGTGTAGCCGCAGGATGTTCTGCACCGAGTGCCCAAAGGCGTCCTTTCCGCTGCCGCCGCTCAGCTGCTGCGCCACAAGCGGAAAACGCTGCGCCGCCGCCACGTGCGCGGCGGTGCGACCGTGCAGGTCCTGCGGTGCATGGGGAGGAGAAGCAGCCGGCAAGGATTACAAGAAGCTGCCGAACCATACATTATATCCTATATTATGTACATAATATAAACAAATATACTATATATAGATAAATACTTTCTATTGCTACATGCAGCCAAGAAAAATACGGCGGCTCTGTGTCTATCTGTCTGCCTACCAATCAACCTATAGACATACCCCGTATCATGTATATGCCTACGGCAGGAAAACCGTACGTGCGTTTTGCTTCTTTTTTGCGTATTGCTCTTTTTTTCTTGGGGTTGGGGTGGGGTGGGGTGGGGGGGCATGTTAACGTTCCTTGTACTTCGTGCATTATATATTGCCATGTTGATAAGATCTCTGGGATCGTGTGCTACGTTACATGTTGCTACGCTGCTGAGATCTCTAGTGTGGGTGGGGTTGGGGTGGGGTGGGGTGGGGGGGCATGTTAACGTTCCTTGTACTTCGTGCATTATATATTGCCATACTACGTGACATGTTGGTACGCTGCTGAGATCTCTGGGATCTTTTACTACGTTACAGGTTGCTACGCTGCTGAGATCCTTGGGACTTTCGTACTACGTGACATGTTGGTACGCTGCTGAGATCTCTGGGATCTTTTACTACGTTACATGATGTTTAACTGGATTTGTCAAAAATCAATAGATTTTGCATCCACTTTTTTTGACCAAAATTCAGTTATCCAAAGAGTTCGGAAGAGCATTTTATACTGTAAATTGCAGGTGATGGTGACTCTCCTGGAAGCAAACAATCAAAACGCTCGCGCGGTTTCCCTTCCGCCGGGATGTATATAGATATAAGATGGATTCCTGAGTTGAGGAACGCCCAAAATCATCTAAACTTGATTATTTCTGATAGGGAAACCAATAGTCTTGGGGTCTACCCTTTTGGGAAGCCCTCAATATATATATATGTGTGTGTATGTGTGTACATGTGATATACATATATATATATGTATATGTGTGTTGATGCAAATAATAATGTGAATGTAAATGTAAATATCATATACATATATATATATATAGTATTATTATATTTGTACATACTGATATACATATATAATATTATATATATACCATACAGTGGTTTATCATGTGACCAACTCTTCAGGGTTTGTTTAAGGTTTCATTTAAGGCTTTTCAGGATCTTTACCACGATTTTGATCAAATTTTACTTTCAAGGCTTACTTCGGGTGTTATGTCAGCTTTAAACTTTAGGTTTCAGGGTTTAGGATTTGGGGTTTGGGGTTTAGTGTTCTGGAAACAAATCTCGTCAGCCATTTGGGCAATCCGCCGAAATCCCAAAATGCATAAAACACTGGCCCTGCGCAGTCAAAACAGACTTCCACGGGCAGCACCCCCGTCCTGGCCGTATATACAATAGACCATATACAATAAATATGTAATATGATCTATATATCTATGTATATATATATGATATTATATATATATACATGAGGCAGACCCTATCTCAGTTGCCATCTCACGTCCAAGCTCGTCATGCTGCTCCTTGACGTCAGGCTCTGCACCCGCCTCTAGCAGCATCTCCACGATGCGTGCGTCGCCGGACGCGGCGGCGTGGTGCAAGGCCGTGCGGCCGCGCGCGTCCGTCAGGGCCAGCAGGCTGCTTCCTTCGGTGGCTGCAAGTCATGGGAGATGTAGCACCAATTTTGTTGGGATAACATGCTGAAATTTGTTGGGATCACCATCCTGATTTTATTTTTGTTGAAAATAGAAAATGACAGAAACCACTAGATATGACGTATATCAACCAACAAATGGTACACATCCCATATCTTTTTGTTGTTGGTATATGAGCAAGAAAACTGTATAGAACTGGTATATAGATTCTTGGGAGATAATGTGGGTATAATGGGAGATACCATCTGGTAAATTGGCATAGATATACATATAATATGTATGTATATATATATGTACATATAAAGAAAACCATTGTTGTTTCCCCTAGGAAATTTCTGGAAATCTGTTGGAGGGTATTACTTTTAGATGCTTTTGGTTGGCACTCTGAAGTTTAACACTTAGATCTCTGCTAGTGGCTCAATGAACCTGACCACCCAAAATGAAGAATATGTATCCGGTGCAACCCAAACCCTCCTGAAGAATCCACCTTACCAATGTTATTTGGTATATAGTTCCTCCAATGTGGACACAACCCAATGATATGATTGTTATATGGGGATGGGTCAAAACCCTGGTACCTAGTGAACCCCAAAATAGCTGGTAAATGGATGTTCATCCCATTACTGGTGATTTCCTGCAGCAGATTCCAGCAGCAGCTTGGCCGCAGCGTAGCGCCACTCTGCTGCGGCACTGCGGGCGGCATCTCCAGGGTTCCCGTTCGCACCCAGATCCTTCACCCGCCTGGGAACGAGAGCTCTTTTCAAGATCTCCGCACATCCACATGACATGTCATGATATGTGTATATATATATATGTATGTGTCTATATATATATGTATATGTCTATATATATATATATGTCTATATATATATATGTCTATATATATATGTCTATATATATATATATATGTATATGTATATATATGTCTATATATATATGTGTGTGTCTCTATGTATGTATGTATGTATGTATGTATGTATGTATGTATGTATGTATGTATGTATGTATGTATGTATGTATGTATGTATGTATGTATGTATGTATGTATGGTAATGTAATGTAATGTAATGTAATGTAATGTAATGTAATGTAATGTAATGTATGTATGAATGTATGTACGTAGGTATGTATGTATGTATGCATGCATGTATGTACGTACGTACGTACGTATGTATGTATGAATGAATGTATGTACGTATGTATGTATGTATGTATGCATGCATGTATGTACGTACGTACGTATGTATGTATGTATGTATGTGATATGATAATAGATAATAGATAATAGATAATTACTCCATACAGATTCACAATACAATACCATACTTTACATGAATCATCATAAATCTAAATGATATGTCAGGCCAAGGCGCCTTGCTGTGAGGCCGCCCAAGGATGACAGGGGAAGCTCCAGGAATTGCAGGGCCGCCTGTGGGGGACCAAAAAACAGGGCGAGTTTAGGGGGCTGATACCCTCTGGTAAACTAACATAACTATGGAGAATCACCATTTTTAATGGGTAAACCCACTATAAATGGCCATTTTCAATAGCTATGTTAGTTTACCAGAGGGTAATTTCAAACAACTTACTGCATACCTGGTGCCTTCACAGTTTTGTTGGCTGCCAGCTGTCCATCATGGGAGGAGTTAGAACATGGAATCTGCGGTCGTCAAGCACCCATTGGTTCCTGGGCCATTTTGTCGCATTTCCTCATTGAAATTGAGCCATTTATTCTTATCATCTATTGTATTGCTAGGGATGACTGAGAGATTCTCTTCTGTGAATGGAGGGGTCTGCACCGACTACACTCGGAACACGTTTGCATACGTTTGCATACGTTTGCCCAGCTTGGCAGTGATGTTGCAAACTTCATGAAAACCATTTTCAGGATGGACTGCAGCGTAGACAAAGCAACTCGTTGTTTTTCTTCAAGTTCAACAAATTTCAGTGACCCTTCGCATCTTCACCGTTGGTTTCTTCATCCCACACCTTCTTGTGAGCCACCGATGCCACTGCAGTGGCCGCATTGGCCCCTCCCAGCTGCATCTGGACGGCGGCGTCCTTCTCATCCGCAAGGCCCCACTTCTGCAGCATGGCCGCCAGGCGATGCCGTGGGGAGGCCAGCAGCACGCTGCTCAGCGGGGTATAGAGGTCCGGGGCGCCAGTGGCATGGGACGTGGGGTGGGCCCATAAGAGCTGGGGATCTGCACCTCAAGTCGCCCACAAAGTAGCTCGAATCCAACCCTTGACGAAGAACCAGAAAAAAAGATAAACAAACATTTGATAAAAAGAATTCCAGCCAGCAGGCGTTTCTCCTGCCAATCTCTTTTCCAGGGCAGTGTCTTTCTGCCTTGCAACAAGGCCTTGGCAAAGCGATAATCCGACGCAGCCCCTGCATCCAGCAGCTGAAACAGCTCCTTGGTGGCTTGCACATCGCTGCCTAGAAGGGCAATGGCGTTGCTGCGCAGCGCGCGCATGAAGCCCGTAGTTGGCACCATGGTGTCGTGGGGTCAAGGTCGGACAAAAGTGGGTTAGGAATAGGGTGGTGGAGCCGCCCATTTGTTTCTTGATCACCAAAATGCAGGGACAAGGACAACGACTGAAAATCAAATCATCTGGATGCAAGCCGCTCAATCAAAAGAGCCATTTCCGATATGCCCTCTTGCCTATCTTGGATGCATCAAGTGCCAATATGTTCCGATTTTCTGTCATGATGCCTTTGGTTTCATGACCTACAGCATACCTTCTACCCTCTGGTAATCTTGCGTGACAACACAAAACCCACCGTTCACATCCATTCATAAATGATACCAATCAGAAAAATGGAAAGTTTACGTTTACATTATAGTAAACCCAAAAAATGGATTATAATAGTAAATTACCACTAATGTTAGATCATTTAGATCCGGTTTTTACGTGTCTATCTTTTTGGGTCCAATTTTCGCAATCTCCTGTGATCCTATCAGGGCTCTGAGCCTGAGCGAAGCTTGGGCGAAAGGATTTGGACTCCACGGGATCACGGAGTCCACACCGCACGACAAAATAGGTGAGTTTTTGGGGTGCAAGGAGTACATTCAGACCAATGTAGTAGATTCAATGTTAACTTCAAATGTGTATATATATACAGTATATATTATATATTATATACATAAGATTGCTTCCATTGGTGATAAAATCGTAAAACTAAAAAATGTAAAGACTAATGTACTACAACCTTTGAAAATTGAAAAAGTAAGAAAGACTGTTATATTTGCACACTGTATTACTTGCCATTCAGCACTAGGTAGTAACACTGATGGTGATATTACCACGACATCAGAAAATATAAAGAGTGGTTGTGGACAGCAGTCACAAGGTGTAGAGGCTTGAACAAGGTAACGTTTTTCAAACATAGCAGTGATAAACATGATGAAATTAATCATAAATGTGTGATAGGCTATTATGAAAGAAAAATACATTATTACAAAGAACAGGATAGAAAAGCTAAAGGAACGTTGCCTAAAGAAGGATATATGAATGTTAAATGGTTTTTGGATAATTATATATATATAATGTAACTTACATTATGGACGTGGATTTTGTACCAGTATGAATAGCGGAAATAGTTCAGCAAACTTGTCAAAGAAGACACAATGGAATGACTCATACATTGGATAATCTAATTCGATCCTTACTGTAATGATTGTAACCGTAGTGCTAGTAATAGGGGATAAGGCAGATTTGAAAGAAAATTCAACCAAGCATACCTTGCCCCTTCTTTTGAAAACATATATGATCTTATTCCATATCTTGAGATCGGTATGATATCACTTTTCTATTTTGTATATGAGGTGCAACTATGGTAATATTCTATGAGGATAGCCTTGCCCATCTTCCAACCAATAATATGTATCCCCAAAGTCCTATGATACCTGATTGAAAAGCATCTCTGAATTATTATCGTTTGGGTGTTTGTTGAAAACATCGAATTGACCAAAAATTGGTTTGAAATTGAAAAGAGTAGGGTACCCCGGTACCCCCGATGGTTTTGTGATTGATGAGATGCTTGGTGGCTTTAAAATGTTGTGTTCTATGGCTGGAACATGGGCAAGGCTATCCCTAGCTATATAACCTAGGGAAAAAATCAGCCCTGGCATGATCTGCAAGGTGCCCCCAAGCCATGGCATTTCGAGCGTTTCCCAAATTTCTACGCCAGGCCTATGTGAACCTCGCCGGAAGTCCTGGCACCAGATGCCACACATAGCTGGATGTTGCAGTTACTATTCCAGGGGCTAGAGAACCATCGAGAAGATGGTGACGCGGTTGGCAAATCCAAAATAAATGGCTAACTCCCCAATCATGTGATGTTTTTGGCGGATTCCGGTGGATTTTGGCGCGAAGTTTTCCAAGTTTTAGACATACCATGACATACCCATATTCTGGTGGTGCACTGGCCGCCACCTGGCCAGGCTATGATTATGATTATCAATGATTATCAATGATTCTCCAGCGACTGCCTTTATCAAAAAACTAAATGGGGATGTGTCAAAACCTTGTACCCCTGGTGAACATCAAAATAGCTGGTAAATGGATGTTCATCCCACTAAAAATGGTATTAATAGGTATTGATCCATAGCCAAATAGAAAATCAACCCATCAAACCATGAAGAAGATCGGTGCTTCGAGACCTCAATTAAATGGGGCGACATTAGGGCGGAAACTTTACCCCCAAAGATGGGACGGTGAAACTTTACGACCTCACAGCTGGACCCATGAATTTGCTGGAAGCCTGGGGTGCCCAGTCTCATGGCTTTGAAAATGGGTTTTTTCCCTTTTCAGATGGCATTTCATCTGGAAGCTGATGATAAGGATTTGGGGGTGCCAAAAATGTTCAAACACAAATGTGGCTAGTCATCATCCAGCTGCCGGATTTTCTGGGTGAATCTACCGAAAATCGCCTGGTGAAATCGTCAAATCCGTTGTTTAAACAATGTTTAAACATTGTTCTTCAGAACTTGAACGTGTTGTTCAATGTTTTTCATTCTTATTTGCTGTTTCTTTGGGAAAAAACAACAACATCTCCATGCTGCTTCGCCCCAGCGGCTTCCTTGATGTCGGACTGACCTGCAGGGCCCCATAAAATGCTGATGACTTGGGCTTTACCACAGACCAATGGAAGATTTGTCCATCGAAATATCATGAGTTGATCATGGGCGGTAAACCAGAGACCGGGAGAGTGACTACCGGAATTCAGCAGGTGGCAAACCCCGATGAACGCAGGCCTAATTTTACTGAACAATGGGGCGGTTATTATAGGAAAACCTAGATAGGTTGTTCACCACCGGTGTCGCGTTTGGTCAATTTTCCCCATGAACTTGCATACCCTCTGGTAATTTAACATAGCTATTGAAAATGACCATATATAGTGGATTTTCCCATTAAAAATGGTGATTTTCTATAGTTATGTTAGTTTACCAGAGGGTACCAGATCGCCATGGCCAAGAGACCCCTGAAGCCATTGGCCATAGCGGCCCGCTCCATCGGCGGAGGACCCATTATCGCCTGGGAGGGGCAAAGGATGGTTGATGATGATTTTCTTAATTAGCAATATATATATATATATCATACATAACATATATATATATATATGGATATATATATATGGGTACATGACCAATATATTTATCAACCATTGATAACCATTGTTACTATTCTTATTGTATCGTCATATATACCATTAACAGGGGTATACCTCAGCCGTTCCTATCGTCCAGGCCCTTCCGAGGGGCCCCACCTTCTCTGATGGGTTGGGGTGATACACTTGCGCACACAGATCAAGAGGAAGTCGCATCCATACAGCACCAAACCAAAATAAAAATATAAAAATAAGGATAAAAAACAAGTAGAGCACGCAAAAAAAAAGAAAAAAACTATCAAGATACTGCTCGGTTGGCCTCGTTACCAAACACTGCAAATACCAATACAAAAAGGCCGTCTCATCTTGACTGGCCAAACACAGTAAATTTACATGTTTTAACAAACAAATGGATTTGCTTAAACAATAAAATACACAAAAAAAATGAAAACCAACAATTTGATCATAGAGGGCCAAATGAAGCGTACATGTTGTATCTCAACTTCAACGGACGAAAAAAAAAAACATCCGAAAAACAGCAAGTTGCAAGAGGAAAACAAAAGGAATCAAAAATGAACAAATTACCACAGTCAGAGCAAAATTTTAAACAATACACATAACACAAACCAGTGAAGTATCGGAGAACGTGGGTCCCCTAGGTATATTATATATATATACATATTATGCGAATCGGGGATTGCCTACCCGATTATGTTCCAATGGTTGATGTTGAGGATAAATGTTCCAGTTCGACGACGTCACACGGGCAGCTGCTTCCGCATTGCTGATCTTTTCTCCAGTGCTGCAGTGGGTCTTGAGCCAAAGAGGCCAGTTCGGATTGCCCCTTTGGTGCTGGATCACAGAGTGTTTAGTTGTGATATTATACTTGATCCGTACCCTACACTCTATTCGCACCCCCCACGCATAGCCAACTTTGTTGGCTACGCGCAAAGGAGTGTTCTTTGAATTGATCCACTACACTCGCAGCTGTCCATTTATTGAATTATGGAGAGCTAAAGTCCGTTCAGAACTTCATATCTACATGGCGGCTTGCTACGATCTCTACCAAAAAATGAAGGTTCTGTTCACGTGCATGTAGACACGACGTAGTCGGTGTCTAGCATTGAGGTTCATCCAATGTGGCGTAGCCAGCATGGAGTCTCACTCAAGCATGTGAATTAAAGAAATCAAAACACAAAGTTGACTATGGAACTAGAAGTTTACCTTCCCGTCCCTTCGTCGGTTGAGACGTAGACCGCTGTAGAAACTCAGCGTTTCATGCAATGATGTTCAAAAAAAATGTGTGGTTCTAAATTAGCCGGCTCAGAGTCCTCTCAGAAATCATTCAAAAATGAAGTAGAGGTAAATCTCGAGCAATGATTGCATCCTCGCATCGCCAGGTTCAATCAATCAGGACCTATGCAGAGGGCAGATCGCTTAATCATCTATATCCCCATCCATAGTATCCCTGTTGGTTCCAGTCTCCGCCACGGTGTGAATAAGATTTTCCACCTTTTCCTTGGTCTTTTCCACCCTTCTTTGGCGGGGTCACTGGAGCTTGTTTTGGCGGAGGAGCGGTTTCAACTGTTCTCCATGTCGCTGACGATGATGCTTTCGCTTTCGACACTCTTCCCAGTGCTGGTGCAGCTTTCGGGGCTGCTTTCGATTTGCCAGCGGCTGGATTGGCACGTACACGATCAGCAGGAGTCGGGGTATCAGCAATCGCAAGTATGTGAGCTTCAGACAAGTGGATGCCCCACCTTGGTCGTTGATCTTCCCGTTGCTTGATGTGATTGTAGTCATCGATCGCATCATATAGCTTTTGGAGTAGAGGTCGCGGCAATTGTCGGCCATTCTGAAGGATCAGGTGTAAAAGTGATATTCTTCGAAGTGGTGGACGAAGAGCA